TCGGTCAAAGGTGGTGTCCGGACTTGACCGTCTTAGAGGTCTTTTCCAACCTGATTCTGTGACTCTGTGAGGCTGCCCTCTCCCCAGTCCGCAGTCAGGGGCCGAGGCACCCCCGCACCGTGGCACGGCAGTGGAGCAGCCCCACGGGGCACGGCCGTGGTGACACATCGGCCCCGGCGGGGCGGGCAGCGGCCACCCGCGGTGTCGGCCTGGCATGCTGCCGTGCCCGGGGCCGAGCCAGGGCCCTCTGGCAGCGGCCGCCGCCGCCCTGCCCGCGAAGTCCGCGGGACTCGGCGCTTTGCCGGGTGCTTTGCCGCCAGCGAGGCCCCGCCGCCGCGCAGCCCGGGCGCGCCGAGTCCCGCCGGCGGGACGGGGCTGCGGCTCCCGCCGCCAGGGCGCGACCGGGCGATGCTTAAAGGGGGCCCGCGGCCGCCGGGAGTGTTGCGGTGTGCGGGCTGCGGGGTGAGGGGTGCGGAGTGCGGCCGAGGGGCCGCCCGGGCTGAGGGACTGGCGCCCCGAGTGCTGGCCGGGCTGTAAATTTCCTTCTGTACAGGCTGCCTGCCCCGCACCTGCCCGGGTCACCGTTTTACCCCCGTGTGCGCCGCCTCGCTAGCAGGGATCCTACTCGGGTCAGGCCACCTCTACACCCCGCAGCGGGTTCAGCCAGCCCCGGCGGAGATAGAATGAAAATTGGAAGAACCCGCCCGGAGGACGAGCAGGAGGGACGAGGACTTGCTTTGGGTAACGCTACCTTGTGGGGATGCGGGGGCTGCCCGTGCTTTGGAGGGGGCCGCGGCTGGGGAGATGTCCTCTCCGACGGCTCTGCCTTGTCCCCGGGGCCGTGGCTACTATCGAAGCCTTGCCAGCAGCGGGACTGGATGGATGGTGATTTGGGGTGAGCCGCGTGCTTGCTAAGTGTTGCTCCTCTGTGTTTTTTTCAAGGATAACCTCGTGAGAACACTCGGAAAAGACCTGGAGTGGAGCAGAAAGCAAAGCCCACGGAAAGCGGCTGAGGTAGGGGCAGGCACAGACATGTGCACTCCTCTATATGCACTGCACTGAAGAGTTCCACTATGTATATTTCTGGGGAAGGGAGAGGAGGAAACTATGGAAAATAAGTGATTTTGAAAAAAAGAACCACCATACTTTTTACCCTTTTTTATTAATCCTTGTCACACTTTTTTAACTGTAGCATCTTCAATGCCAGAAAAATGCAAGTTATAGTAACTTAACACCTATTCGGGGAGAAAACAAGAACACTTCTGGGCTTCTCTCCTTTAGCACTAGAGGGACTGCTTGCTTTTTAAAAGCAAAAGTTACCTGACTTCATTGAAGGGTTTGTGTTGATTTACAGAGCTCTCATTTCATTGGCACTGAAAGCTGACTTGTCCACATTTAGGCTGGTGAAAGATAAATAGGACAACAAAGAACTTGTATGTACAGTATGAACATAGGTGGAAAAAGTATTAATCAGAAACAAAACACTTAACAGTAAGGAAAAGGTAAAATACAGGTAGCTTGTACCTTAAGGAGTTGCCACAAAACCTTGTAAGTGTGCAACATGCAAACTGATGGAGTGGGAAGTGAAGGTCTAAATGGAATTCACCACACTGAAAAACACTGAAGCAGGAGATAAGCAGTGTGTCCTTAGATACAATGACAGTATGGAAAAGTAACCACTAGCATGCTAAGAATATTGCTTCAGCATAAATATTTCATGTAAGTGACCCCATGGGGAAAGTCATGTTATTAAAATGATCAATGACTGAGCTATAGGAGACAAAGCCTTAGGGATGGTGGTGAAGGGGAACTGGTCGGCCAGAACTCAAGAGAATGTAACAGTCTGGCAGTGCATGTTAGCTGGCTGTTGTCTCTGATATGTCACCAGCTGCTAGCTGCACTCCATATTGTTTCCTTCAAAAACATCATGGAAAACTCAGAGGTGGCATCTTGCTGTGAAACAAGCAGAAATCAGTTATCCAATGCTTTCCTGTGGCTGCTAACAGCAGCACTCAGGCGAGTAAATGTTTTATGTTTTGTTTTGTTTTGTTTTGTATTAAGAGTTATTTTGAGTGATTTAAGGCCAGTTTTGAAGAACCAAAGTGAAGGCTTAAAATATAGTATTCACTGATTTCTGTACAAAGTGTCTAACTCAGTAGTTCCTTACCAGTGTGACTTCAAAGGACTTTCAATCAAAATGGATGTGGGAGATAAAACCTTAACTCCATCCAGCCTGAATCCATAGGCTTCAATCCTGGGATCTTTATGCATCCTCCTTTATTTGGCTGTAAATGGAGATGTGCTGTGGCTCTTAACTTACAGTTAAGTTGCACTATGGAGAAACCAATAATTCTAATTTCAAAATAAGCTAAAATTGAACTGGAATACAGAACTAGACTCTCAGCTCACCTAGACTAACCCAGAGTTGCAACAGTGACCATAAACAAATGCCCATCTGAGAAAAGGACAGAAGTAAGTATGGTACTAATTAACTTGTGGAGGTAACATACTGTAGTGGTACTTGTTCAAGTTGTTCAAATGGTGGTTTAAGACAAGAAACTGTTTGCAACACTATTCAGTTCCTTTTGTACAGTCTGGGGTCTGATTCTAGTCACATTCCACATAGGTTTTATGCTAGTACACTAATTCATGTCTTGCTGAATCAGAAACTTATCTGTGACACTTTTTTCATGACACTACATTCTGTTTGAACTTTTATATATACATGTATGAAACATGAACCTCAAAACAGGCGACTAATGATGAATTTAGGTAGAAAATAAAAGACGTTTCCAGGCATATTATTTTAGGAGGCATCTCACTCTGCAAGGACTCTGTGTCTGGTAGGCAGTGCGTTGCTAGCTGGCTGCTGTACCTGGATGTAGCAGCCGCTGCTGCACTGCCACCTGCTGCAGGGCTGGAGCACCACTGCTTAAAGACAATTCCTTTGGAAGGTGCTAGGATTCTGTTTACAGGAATGCAGGCGATGCTTCTGTGTGTGACGAGATGGCAGTGTATGTTAGCTGGTTGAAATTCTGACATCAGCTAACATGCAGTTGCTCTCTTTTTCCACATACCTTGGTCATCAAAAGGGAGAGCTACAACTTCTGTACAAGAAATCTTCTGGGTCCTCCTGATTACTTTTGTTGTTGTTGTTGCTGTTATTTTTTTTTTTTTTAACTCTTAACCTCACGTATTATAGTGGTATATTGTATTTCCATTATCTGCCATTGTTCAAAGAATTGCGACAATTTTTTCGGTTTATTTAAACTCTGACTTTCAACTACTTTCAGATATCAAGGTAACAGGAAGTTTATAAATACTTGAAGCAGGTAAATAATTCAGATGTTTCAAACAATTTTAAGTTCTGGGAGTTTTCTTAAAACAAAAGCAGAACAGTTAAAAACTTCATGAGAGTTTTAAATTTTGATTTTAATTTTTTTGATAATGATATTTGGCAAATGCAAATGTGTAGTTTGGGGGGGAGAAGAGTTGTTTTTTTTTTTTGTAAAAAATGAGTAATTAAAGTGGAAAAGACTTAAAGTAATTTTCATTAAATGTGTGAATTCTATATCTGAAAAATAATTACTTTTCTTTTGTATATATAAAGCAAAGTCAGCTTTAGAATTTTTCTTCTTCATTACTTCTCAGAATAAATTTATGAACGTCAGTGCATTAAAACAACTGCACAGCTCCAACCAGGAGACACAAATTGAGTTGGATACAATATTATACTTAGAAGAATAAAGGCTGGAAGCACATTGATCCTTTTGATTAATGTTAAACTGCAAGCTTCTATCAAGCATACTGCCACAGCCAACAGAGTGTTAGCTTTATCCTCATCCTGGCACTTCAGTCACCTACAGAGTGTAGAAGAAATTATTTGTTAATCCTTGTTTTATCTGGGTACTGCTATGTGTGGCTTGCAAAGTGAAGATCTCCTAAGAAGAGAAATAACATCAATGTTTGTGAAGGTCTGCAGAATTTGGATGAACCTACTGTTGTGTGTGGTGATTAGGCAGTGTATTGTTAGTTAGCTGTTCTTCACACACCAGCAACTGACTGCACTGCCACATTAGCACATCATTGTTGAGAATTGAATATAAACACTGTTATAAATATCTTATGAGATCCTTAGCTGGTATGGGGTCCAATGCCTGCCTAGTTCCCCTGACTGAGAGGAGCAGTGCTAAGTTAGGTAGACTGAGTGAAGGTAGGGTACAAAATTAAGTGTAACTGAGGGTATAAAATTAAATGTAACTGTATTTCACACATTTATACAGACAATCTAATTGGCTTATAAAGAATCTACTCAATTATGCAACTATAAAGTAAGATTTCAGGTTTGAACACTATATGCATATGTTTTTCTTACACCACTAAGTGTTTATAGGAACATTGATGTTTTGGTCCAGCAAAGAAGTATTTTGTGACAGTACTTGAAAGAACAGGAACATGTACTGCTGTGACTGAAAATCACCTTGTGGTGATTTAGAATATTTGCACTCCCAGACAATCTCTTGTAAAGAGAAGCTCACAGTTAAGTGATATCTGCTTGAGAAAATAAAGATATATCAGATCTAAGGAGTGAAGGAAGGATGGGATAGGAATGAAGAGTTAGGATGAAGGATGTAATAGGTTAGGTCATGCTGAAATGAAGATGAAATAACTGTAACATTCATGGACTGAACTCTGTTAGCTGTCTTGGGAGAGTGGTTTTATCCTAAATTGGTGGGATTATTAAGGAATCCAAGAAATAAATTTCAGTCTGTTCACAATTTTGGAGGTTATATTTTTTATATGCTATATTTTAAATTAACTGTAAGTGGATATTTATGTATTCGTATTATCTTCTTGGCTTTTGACTATGGGTAAGTATATACTTGCATAACAGTGTTCTAATTTTCATTTTATTTATTTGCCTTTCCAAGTCTGTGTAGATTTGTCCATTAAAGATGCTTTATTTTTTACCCCAGAAGAAATAAATGATTAGTTTATCAATGATCTGCCCTAAATATTATATTGGAAGAGCTGGCATGTCTCAAGACGTATAAGTAATACAAACACATTGAGTTTTTGGACGAATGCTAATTAACAGTAAATTTTGAAAAACTTAAATTGCATAGGTTCAGGACAGAATGGTACTTATATTCAAATTTCTACAGAAAATGGTTGTAGTGGATTGTGACCAAACAGTGAAATGAGAAATTCCATGACTGTGTTATCAGACAAAACATTCTTCTTCTAGGACTCCATAGTAAACTTTATTCAGGTAGGAGTGAGTTAAATAATTCTGTCCACTCACTGGCTAATATCACATGCTATTTCTGAATACTGGGAAAGACATTTGATCTTAATGCTGGCATTGTGATATTTAAGATTACGCAGTGTCCTTTAGTGAGTGAGTCACAAGCAAGGTGTGCACATTCCCTTCCCTCCTGATCCTTTCCAAACTAGAAAATGATACTGCTATGTTTATCCTTTATAGGGATTTTAGGAACCCAAGTGAAATTTCCCACACACTAAATAACTCTAAGGCAATACCAGGACTAAAATAGACCTTTTTTTAGGTGTTACAGTAACATCACCCAAAATTTCTTTGTACCTAAGCCTTTCTTATTCGGTGATACAAAAAATCAGGGAGCTATAGGAGTACACAGGAGTTGACATGCCTATTTTAGATGTGAGTGTTTTCAAGTTAAGATATTCACCCTTTATGGGAAAAGTATTGTGTCCTTCCACTTAGTTCCATGGAATGCAGGTTACTCCCAGTGAGGGCAGACGGTCCTTATCTGAATTCCCTTTCTGCTCCATCAAAGCAGCAGAGACATGAGACAAAAATCACCTGATATGTTCCACTAAATGTTCTCAAGGCTGGAACTGCACATGCAGGAGGAGACTGGAGTAAAATACAAAACCTCAGAATAAGAACAGGAACTGTCTTGACAGATTTGATGTGGAGTCTTGTGGGATAATGGCAAATAGCTCAGAGGCTGGTCTAAAACAACAACAGCAGGCTGATTTTGACTAATAAGATCTTCTGCATAATCCTTGGCTGGTCTCTGAAAGTTAGAGTGGCTAAAATTGCCAAGGTTTGAGTTCTGTTCCAAAATGATGTTTGTCAGTATTGATGGAAGCACTTTAGTTATTTTCAGTTAGTCTTACAAGACAACAGCACTAATGCTATCCATCCTTCTCATGTAGAAAACTTCCAAGACATAGGTTTCTCTCATTTCTATTCTCTCAACCCTCCATTAGGAGTTGGACATCCAAAGTGACATTTCTTATTTAAATTTACTATCTCCCTTTTTCAAACAGGTAGATCAAAACACTTAGCAGTTTGTAATAGAACAGTGGAGCAGAACCGGAAATGGGTTTGCAGTTACATGCAGGACTGGGGAGATTGCAAGGTGAGAAGAGTAGAGCTGGAACCATGAACCTTCACCGCGTTCTTCTACCTCTGCATGAAGACTAGTTTTTTATGCTAGAGATGGTAGGTAGGTAGATAGATGGCTGGGGAGTATTGTCTTGGACTGTCTCAGAAAGACACTTGTGAGAATCCCAGACTCTTGATTTTCATTGCACCTTAAATCCTTTTGTAAGCAACTATGTATATTCACGCAGGCTTTGCCTTCATCCAGGTCAGAAGACCAGGAATCCAAGAGGAGAGAAGCTCATAGTCAAGGCACTGTACCATGGTGCGAATGTATAGAGATGGCTAAAGAGTTTAAAGGTGTTGCTGTAAAGCTGAAATGTAAAATGAATCAAAACCTAAAGTAGGTAAGAAAATATTTCTGCAATTTTTTTCTTTTACATTTAATAATTTCATTTTCTATGTACAATTTTTTTACAACTGACAGCTTCACAGTTCTGTAGTCTTTCTTGAGAGATTGCTGTAAAGCTGGTCTCTTCAGTTACATTTTTCTCTAAAATTCCTGCTGTGGATGCCTCTGGGCCCCATGTGCTTCAGAGAGGGCAAATATGTATTAATGGAATATCAAAATCTGTTTGTTACTGGTAGATGGGAAAGAAACCTGTGCAAATACTGAGAAATTTATTAATAAATCATCTTTCTAGCTATCCCCCTGCTGTTGACAATTGCAATTAGCAGTTAACAGCAATTAAAAAAAAAAAAAAAGGCAACATTCAGAAACCGACTGTAGATTGAAGGTTCCATCCTTGCAAGGTACTTAGTGTCTTGCCATCTCAGCCTTCTCAAGGCTGTTGCAGGGTCAAATCCAGCATTAATAGACACATCACCAACCATATTGGTTGCAAATACCAACACTAAAGAGAAGTAAAATCACCTGATGGTTTAGCTTCTAGCAACATTTCCCAGGAATGTACAAAGGCTGTATATCCATGCTATTGAAGAGATTCACAGTATAAATGCTTTTTCAGAGGTCCTCTCTTTTTTTCATGATAATCTGCCTGATTAATGCTGCTACTTCTGGCTTGATATTTTGTACCGGCTCTTCGGGTCTCCAGAATTTCACAACTTTACCCTCAGGGCTGACAAGGTACTTCCAGAAATTCCATCGGGGCTCTCTCTTTGAAGAATCTGTAAGGATGGCATCAGGTTGTTTTAGTGAGTTACACTTGTAATTGTTTCAATGCCCTGAGCTGATTCTTCAACTTTTTATGCAGAAGTAATCACACCTTGTTCTTTGCTAGTAGTCTGGGCATTGTTTACTGGTTGCTGTTAATGATTGGAAAAGTGGTAAGTGAATAATACTCCACGTTCACATTTATGCTCCCAAGTGGACTCCTTTTGCGCTAGACTATCTGACAGTGCTGGGCAAAGTGTAGCTAGCAATAACAGGCACAAGAAGGTGGTGTAGCATGAAGATGCTCAACCTTCTGATTGTCAAGACAGCTATCTGAAGAAAGCAGGTGCTTCTTTTATTGAAGATGCAGAATAATTAAATGTGAAACTTGGGAATGCAGGAAAAGAAAGACTTCATTAAAAAATATTGAGGTGTCAGAAGATCTTTCTCCTTCCTGTGCGTGAATAGCATGTCAAATAAAAAAATGCTGAGTAAATATTTTTTCTTTGTAGGTATTGATGTGTAGGTATTGATGTCTAACACTGATTGCACTGATATTTAGAATCATCATATTTCACCCCATGCAGCTGGAACCTACCTGCTCTAGTCTCGTCTATAAAAAACTGAGAGAGAACTCAGTAATTCCACTGGACCTCAGGCAACTTAGGTCAACAAGGTTTACTGAGGTTTTTCATATCTTGTGTAAGAGGAGGTAGGAAGAAACACAGTTACAGTAACAGCGGTGAAACATAAATGACTCCTAAACAATAATAATAATTTTCAAGTACATAAGATGTATCACAGAGAATATGGCAAGAAGAAAAACCTAAGTGTTGTAAGAAAGATTTATTTTAGATATTTAAATAGTTTTCTGACAAGAGGAGGTGTGAAAAACTGGAATAGACTATGAGGTTTTGGAGAAGGGTTATGTTCTAAGTATCCTTTCTTTCATATATCAGTGTTAAGCATGGGTCAAAGACCTGGCCAAAGCTCAGGATAATTCAGAGAGGCTTTTCAAGCTGGCTTTGGGTCTATGAGCTCTTTGGTCAACTGAAGAGACAGAGAGTTTCATTTTGCTTGTGAGAATATGAGGCCCTAATTACTCTCTGTAATGGGGGTATTTGTGTGAGGGGATTTTGTGCGCTGGGCCCTGAAGTTCACATGACAAATTAACACAAATCAATGATGATATATAACTACAGTAAATATAATCCTGCTTCACAATACAGTTTACATAAAGATGGACACCTGCCTCTGCTTAAAAAAAGGAATCTGCATGTGTTTATTTAAAATCTTTCAGTAATTTTAGGACGCTCCCATAATTACATTTTTGTCCATAAGAAAAGCTGCTTTTCAATAAAAATCATGTAACTTGAAATGGGATCTTCTAGATGGGAACATTTGTACTCAAGTTCATGCATCCACAAAATGGATGTTTCTAGCTGGGCTGGTCACAGTAGGCTGTTTTTATGATCAGTGAGGAGAAACTGATTCTTTCATGATACAATTCTTCTGCCCATATTTTTTATATTCATACATGAATTGTATGCTTAGTGCCTGTTTCTCTCCATGAGCAGAGAAGTTTAAAGACTTTAATGTTTCCTGAAAAAGAAACTCAGACTGGAATTCAGTGTGATTACTGTGGTTACAGGCAGCTTGATATATGAAAGAAAACAGTTACCTATTAGAAATTTAAAGGCGGGATCTGCTTCTGATCCGAGGATCTTGATTTTGTGGAAAACAGGGAAGGTTACTCCATAGTTTCCTTTGGCAAAAGATTCTATTTCCTGGCTTGAACTAGGCTCTGATTCTCCGAACTGGTTGCAGGGAAATGCCAGCACAGTGAAGTGGGAGGGACCAAACTCTCTGTGTAGCTCTTGCAGTGCGATGTAATTTTTGTCTGTGTTTTGGCAGTAACTGGCCACGTTTACAACTAAAGTTGCCTTCAGAGAAATAAAGTTAGAATAGTAAGAAAAAACCGCTATAGATAACGTAGAGATTATAATTAAATTTTAAAATTACATTTCTCATTACTGCGGTGGTTCCTGTCAGGAAGCTAAATTTAATCTGTCTGATCATCATTTCATTAAACAGATAACCATGAAAGCAGCTGAAGATATTTACATTCAGGGAATGTGTTATAAAAATGCAATAAATAGACAAACTTCAGCTTACAGTTTTGTTTAAATGTAAACATTTAAAAAACATTTCAGACTTGCACTAAAGTCGTATTTACCAGATCAACTTCCAAAATTCAACACAACATGCTACCATTCTTAACTAAGATTAGAATCCACACATTTTCCTGTTAGGCTATAATGATCTTTACTAAATAGTATGAATTTATTTTTCTTAGTTTATTAGATCTACTACTTAATTCCTGGAGCAGATCTAGAAAAAAAAAGTTTCTCCAGCTTACTGTTTAAAGAACAGGAATTCATTACAAATCTCTGCTAAAAATTCCCATAACCAAACATTTTATTTACCTAAAAATGTATATTTTTTTTGTCAGCAACAATTCAACACAGATAAAATGAAACAAAAACTTACTTTCCCTCTGTACTTCTCCAAGGAAATGTTCCTTCCTCGTGAATCCTTGACTTCAAAAGAATAAAAATCTTTGATTTTAGGTTTAAAAAATCTGAGTTGTAGCAGGCAGAGAATGGTGGTACACAAAAACACTGACAGAAAGACCACAATGACCCTGGCTTTGGTCACTGAGTATTTCAGAGGATAAGTAGTTGTAAGAGGCTCCATTTTTGAAATCTTTGGAGGGGAGCCTGGGAAGGCCTGGAATGTGAAGGAGGAGCTGAAATATGAAACTCGCATCTCAGGCGGAAGGAGCAGACTGCTCATTTTTGTCTCTGTTGCCGAAACAGCTTTTTAAAATCACAGTGCCTGCTGGACTTCAGAGTAAAGAGATCAATCTGGGTGAAAAAAAGAGAAGAAATGAATGAAAAGGATCTTCCCATCATCTAAGGACGGTGATTGCTTATTGCTCTGTTTAACTGACTTGTGTGGGATATTCCAGTTCATCTGCACGGTCTTTATTGCTGCTGGGACCTCTTATGGGTTTGTAGTACTGCTCTAGCACACCCCCTGGGCTCCTCTGTTGTCTCTGGCAGAGTTGTTCTGCCAGACACAGCTATGCTGTTGGACAGACCTGGAGAAGCAGTCTGGGGGCCAGCTGTTCAGGTAGAAGGAAGGCAGGATGGCTGAAACCACCCTGTTCACAGACTCAGCCTTGCATCTCGTCAGCTGCTGTGAGATCACAGGCAGCTTTGCTTGCTTAGAAGCACTGAGCCTGCACGGCATGGCACAGCACAACTATGAACAGCAGGAAGGGACAGAATCATGATGGATATGGGTTGCTTTCTTAATCGCTGCTGGCTAACTGGCAGTATGAGATGCCAGTTACTGGTGTCTTACTGCTGAGGTGGTAAGATTGAAGGTCTGCATGAGAGAAGAAAGAGTTAGCTGAGAATCTCAGGTGTAAGCCAAGCAGCTCCACTACTGTTTTGCTGAGCCAACTGTGCAAGACACTCTGAATTTCAGAGCCACACACCTGGTGTTTTAACTGTCTTCATTTTACTGTTTCATATTTTAAAGATTCTTGCCTGTTGCTCTTGATTTCTGAGGGTGCATCAACATGTAGTGGTTACAATTCAGTTATATAAAACCCCAAAATTTCCTCTGTCTTTCATCTTGTCTTCCCCTGAGCAGTTCTTTCCTCTTACTTTCTGTCTGATATTCTACTCTTCCTTTCAGTTTTCAGGGTTTTATTTTGTCCTCTTCACATTTCTGTTCTTCGGGGCTTTTCTATGCTCTTGCCTGTCTATGCTGCTTGTCAGTCTCTGCTTACTTTCTTTTCCTCTCAGCTTTCCAAACCACCATTGAAGAGTGATTTCTGTCTCAGTTTTTTTTCTTATCACCCTGATTTTTTGCTGCACTTAGATGTCACATTTTAAAGGATGCATATAGAATGGAACTTTCTGAATGTAAAACCTGGAACTGGGTGGTTTCTTTCTTTTCAGTAACTTCAGTATCACTATGAGTGTAATTGATTTTTACAAATTCATAGTGGCATGTTCGATCATTTCTGTAATTTCTAAGTAGCGGAAGTCGATGTTAATTTCTTTTAACTAGACTACATGGAGACTTTCACACAGTTCTACATAACAGAACATAACATAATAGAGGCTTGGGAAACACTGTGAAATTTCAGTATTTGTATCTGAGGACATGTTAGGCTTCATCTCTGCCTGGCAGTAAGGCCTGTGGGAATGGTATTTTGATGGATGAGTCAAAAAAGGCACAGACTTCTGTGTTGAAATGAGCCAAGCTGTGCTCAACTGGCAGGCACAGGTAGCTAATGCTGACTTTAAAAGCAAGTTTGAATGTGTTTGGTTGCAGAAGATCCACGCAAGATCCTGGTGTCTAAGCTACATCTCAACAGTTTGTAACTTACAACTAGTATTATTTCAGAAATAAACAAATACCCCCCCTTAATATATTATAAATATTTACTGGTGCACCTAACAATTAGCCAGAAACCCAGCTGTGCTTTCTGTTATTATTCTCACCTAAAACATTGCTTAAAATTTGTTTGAAAAACAAAATATGTTGTTTAATATTATACAGGTTTCTACATTTCAAATTTTGATACATTAAGTTTTATATTTTTCTGCCACAAAATGCTCTGTGAATGAATTTGAACAAATGTAAACTAAAAAAATGCAAATCTGTCATTTAGTCTTTACTTAGTAGGCCTTAAAATATTAAAAAGTGTAAGATAACATTAGAAATAATGACTTGAGTAAGCCACGGCAGTGGTGGGAAGGTTCAGAAATCAAAAGGGATCTAAATCCTTCTTTGTGTGGAGATCAGAAAACCACCCTGGTTCTAGGTAGCCAGCATGTGTCCATCTGTGTCCACCTCTCAGAGATGACCAGACCCATGAGCCTACCCTATATGTGTGAAGGTGCCTTGGGTCCTTCAAAGGCCAGTGCTGTAGCTCAGTACATGAGTGACACAAATTTAGGGTTTTTTTTTTTTTTCGATGCCGCAGACTTTCTGTGCCACAATTGATTCAGGCGTACTTATCAGACCAGAAACATTTGTTTCACGCTGTTTTCCCCCCTCTCACTCTTTCTTCACCTGTGTGACTGCTGGAGTCATCCTCCACCCAGCCTCCGTTGCTGTTGTGTTTAGTTTAGGCTGAGCCTGTGTGGTGCAGCACAGTAGAAGTATAAGTAGCGTGAAGAGAGGGGATGATATTAAGCCATGTCTAATCTCAATGTTTTGTCTTCTCTTGCAGGTCCCAGGCTCGGGCACGACCCGGTGCTCCCGGTTCAAGCGCTCCGTGCCGGAGCTCCGTCGAGCATCCCTGCGGGCACACGGTGGCAGCAGCCGCCCGCGGTCCGCCGAGCCCCCGCCCAGAAACGCGGCCGAGGGGGCGCCGGGTCAGCATGCGGAGGAACTGATTCCTCTGGAGAGAGGATGGGCTCCTGCAGGGGTTTCTGAAACGGCCTGCAGCCGGGAGTTAGTGCCAGCTGAGGGCTGGCGTTTCCCATGTTGTACTGCCGGGGCTCTGGCAGTGCACAGCTGCAGCAGTCAGCAGTCTGCAGGCAGAGCTACAGGCCAGCATCGTGACAATATTTTATTTATTTTTTTTTTTACTTTTTTTTTTTTTTTTACATTGAGGTGCTGGAGTGAGTGCAGAGAAGGGCAACAAAGCCGGTGAAAGTTCTGGAGCACAAGGCCTGTGAGCATAGTCCCTTCTGAGGGAACTGGGGTTGTTTAGTCTGGAGAAGAGGAGTCTCAGGGGAGACCTCATCGCTGTGTACAACTACCTGAATGGATGTTGTAGCCAGATGGGCGTCAGTCTCTTCTCCCAGGCGACTAGTGACAGGATCAGAGGACACAGTCTTAAGCTGCACCAGGGGAGGGTTAAGTTTGACATTAGGAGGAATTTCTTCACAGAAAGGATGATTAAAGGTTGGAATGGGCTGCCCAGAAGAAAGGCTGGATGTGGCACTTAATGACATGGTGTAGTTGACGTGGTGATGTTCAGTTATTGGTTGGACTAAGTGATCTCAGAGGTCTTTTCCAACCTAATTGATTCTGTCATTCTCTTGGCAGGAGCATACTGCTATTGTGAGAGGAAAGCTCAGCCCAAGGTTCCCCTCACCAGTGTGCAGACAGCCTATGGCAGCAGGTCACACAGACAGCTTAGGGCAGCAGAACACACAGGCAGCTGACATCGAGGAGGGTGAAAGGAAGGAGAGAAAAGCAAGTCTCATCCCTAGTCAAGCAATGCCTGTGGCAGACCAGCCTTTTTTCCCCTCTGCGATGGGAGATGTATTGCAATGGGTCTAAGTTTCACTGGACTGTGAGAGTGCACAGGGTCTATTGCAGCAGTTTCATAGCTGCAACAGTTATCAACAACTGACAGGAGAGCAGGGAGCTTATACAGGCTTCTCTCCTTCACTTCCTTCTGCTTCTCTCTTGCCTTGTGTGCAGCTCCTGCAGACTTAGCTGGAACTGCAGAACTTGGATCAGTCTGCAGGTCTGGATTTACTGTAGTGTATGCTCACTGAAGGAGGAGCTTGTCTTGTATTGTTGTTTCTCCTCCAACGCCTAAGATTTCATGTACTGACAAAGGGACAGCAGCCAGGGGATACTCAGACTCAACTCACTTGCCTGAGGGCCATTCAGAAAACAGACCAAACTTCCTGCACTCTGAGTTGGTCCGGAGGAGACCTGAGTCTAGGGGAGGCTGTTTCTCTCCATCAGCAACAGAGGGAGCTGAAGGAAGGTTGAATAAGCTTTGAGGGTCCTGACTCTTGCTTCAAGCAATGCTAGGGTAAAGTGGGGAAGGGTTTGCAGGTTGCATGTCCAAGAAGAACTTTCTGGAAGATGTAGAGATCTAAACACAGTTGACCTCTTGATTAATAATTGAAATATTTAGAGACTAAGTGTTCAGGATATGTTCCTATGATATTGGCAGAAAGTGTTCTGTTTTCTGCTAAGCAGAATACCAGAGCTTTTGAATAATGCATGCACATGTCTAGGAAATTCAAGTTCTAAGACAGTGTGAAGTCTTTCCTTCTTCAGTTTCTAGAACAAAAAGTCCTACATACTGCCTTTACTAGCAGTGGTGAAAGCCTGTATGGTTGTGGCAAATCAGATATTAATTTCCTATGGGGAATGATCTGGTGTCAATAAATCTAAGGCTGGATATGATATGCAGTAATAAACAGGCATTCTTTATACAGGGAGTGATCAATCTGACTTTTTTTAGACACCTCTTTTAGGATAAGATGAATAGTGCTGTAGAAATGTCTCTTTCTCTTCACTCACAGAAGGAAAGCAGGGTGACTGATTCAAATGTCAGTATTTGCATTGTCCCTATTAGTGTGTCAAATCTGCTTTTAGAGTACTGCTATTGTACAATCAGTGTTATTCTGAAAAGTACTTGACAAATATCTCTCTACATGGTTTTTTTTTTAAGGAATTGTTTCAATTAAAATTGTTTGTCCAGTTGTTGTCAGGTGTCTAAGAAACTCTCCATCGTGAAAACTCCTGTGACTTTACCCAATAGTCATGCTGCAATAGGTTTGGTAGGAAGGAATAACAGGAGAGCTGAAATAGAAAAGAAACAGGTGAATAGTGTAGCATTCAAATACATAGGTAGAGTATTTGTTTTCCCAATGTGGTATTTTTACCTTGTCTTTGGCCTAGAACATGTTATGAGGATAATACCTTTTTGACATGGACAACAGTA